TCCCAGCAAGGAGCAGAAATTCTTGAATTTTGGCTTCTAGTAGTGTCTATTAGTATTCCTGCAAGTTAGATGTCATCATGGCAGTTTAGCAAATGAATTGCTGTTTTAGCTACCAACTCTCCAATGCAATGATGGCATGTGGCAATGTGCTTTGCCACATCTTTTTGTACTGGATTTCTTGCCAGAGCAATTATATATTTGTTGTCACAGAAATACAAGTTGGTTTTTCCTGTTTATGCTTCACATCTTCAAAACATTCTTTTCCAACCAAGTGGCATGACAAGCTCTAGTAGTGGCTATAGTACATTCCACTTCAGTGCTATAAGGCTTATTGTTTTGCTTCTTTGACATCCATGAAACAGCTCCGTTTCTCTAAACAGAAGATGCATCCACGTGTTTTTTTGTCATCTACCTTTCTAGCCTAACCGCTATCAAAATAGCCTTGAAGATTGCTGCTTCTATCATTTTCATAGTTGCTGCTAAATTAGTTCTGTAAACTGTTGATAGTATCTTATTCACTATCTTGCATTTCTTTAAGAGTGATAGTATATATACTGTTGACCACTGAGATCTTGGACCATGGAGATTGAATCAATCCTTTAATTCCGTGAATACTTCCCATTTTACATAAAGCCCTAAAATTAGTATAGGTATCTATAACTTCCTTTTCAGAGAGATGTAACTTTGTTTAAATATATACATGAGTAAGGTGTTAATACAGACAGAAATTCTCAGTCTGACTTCTCTTTCTCCTCTTTGGTCTTGGCCAATGAATTAAATCTTGGTATCAGAACTTATGCCCATGATTGCTATGCTTTTCCGTCTTTTTCTTTGAAGTCACAAGTCACAATCGTTTTGCCCAGTCCTCTTTTCATTTCCGTAACAGGTCTCTTAAGGGCTTTGCTTGACTGCTAGTTGCGACAGAAAGCAGCAAAAGCTCTTGAGTAGTGAGGGAAGACTTCATCAGAAGCTGGAACTGAATGACAGAATGAGAAGGAGTGAGGGAAGACTTCAGCATGTGTTTGCAGTCAAGAAATGCAGAGAGGAGTGTGCTGTGCACAGAGGAGGACATGCACAGAGGAGTGCGATACGATCTCTCACATCCAACAGGCTGTCCTTTTTTTGAAGGATAGTTAATTAACCAATACATATGAGAGAGTTCTTCAATTCCCATTGGTTAACATGGAGTCACCATTGGCTGATTTAGGCTTCTATCCTGTAACATATCCCTACAGTCACAGGCTTTGATAAATAATAAGAAAGAGCTTGACTATGCAAGATAATTGCATCAAGTTTTCTAGGACTACTAATTTCTAAAGAATGATTCTCTTTTAGCAACCCAATCTTACTGGTATCAACTTCATTTTTTGCCATTTTTTTCTTGTCTCTTTTTTTTTTGTTGTCTCTCTCTCCTTTTTTTTTCTTTAGTTAACTGAAAAACATGATATCCTAGAGGTAAGACTGAGGTCGACTGTAATCGAGTCCTAGGAGAAACATGTCTGCACAAAGCCTTGAGGATTGGTTTCTGATAGACAACTTTGGTCTTAGTTTGTTATATAGTCGAATAGGGAGAAGAAGTTAATTGATACTCAGCAGCAATCATGGATGTTGCTCTGATACAATATTGAGATTCATATACTAAATCAGAGAGAAAACATGAGAATAAAGAAATTTTATTTATCTTCGTTGTAGAAATTTGTAGCTATTTATATAAGTCTTACATGATATGAAAAGATTATGGAAACATAATATATGTTCCCAACGAATGGTGTCTCCCTCGCAAACCTGCTCCATTAACATCTTTTTTGTCTGAAAAAACTTAAACACATTAAGAAATTGAGATATCACAAGGATAATTAAGAGTAAGGCACTCTCTGCTTTGCTAATGCATTCAAAAGTGTTGTATATCGCCATAAACAAAATGACTCTTTAAATAGGCATTTGCAATATACATGATAACAATATATCCTGATTTCTCGAAATAATTATCAAACCAAAGATTTTTCTAATAATTCAACAATCTTATTCTAATATCTGCAGTAGATAATTTGAAATAAGAACAAAATATAGTTTTTGAGTCGTAAAGTACCATTACTGAATTATTTCTAATATTTTGGAGTGGCGTTGCTGGAATAATCTTATCCATTTCCATTTTGAACCTTAGCAATTGTTTAGTATGTTTTCATTTCAATCATTGACAAGTATTTATGCATTGTACTTAACATTTAAATCACATGATTTTGACTATCAATTCATAGTCAGTAAAACCCTCTGCTACTTTGAATTGTCAAAACAAAAACAGCATGTGAGAATCCAATCCTTGGGGGAGAATTCATAAATTTTCTGAGAAATATCTTGATGAGAGTGATGCTGAAATCATGTTGATGGAACCTTTTGCTAATTAGTAAACTATAAAAATAAAGCAAAGGAGATACTTCTCTTTTTAATTGAAATGAACAGTTCTGGTTTGTGGAGCTATTTTCGCTTTGATCTTTCATCTATTCGGCAGAAATGTGCCAAAACCTTTGTATTATAGCAGCTTCTACGGATTTAGATGAAGCTCAAAGCATTCTTGCTGCATGACCATATAATTCCCAAAAATAGCATTGCAAGATACATGTTCTATATACTGATTCTTTTCAGTGGGTTCTTAAATTAAAAAAACTTGGAATTTTTTTTTTTAATTTGCAGCTGGCCACTTTGGGGTTATGCCATTTTATGCATCTTCATAAATATTCATGGTAAGTTGTAAATTGTTCAGATATTACATGCATTCTACTTATTCCTTTTTTAGTTTATATTTTGGGATTACTCAGTCATATCTGCATTGCAGGTCTTAATATTTACTTCTGGCTTTCTTTCATTCCTGCCATTGTGAGTACAATTACAGTTTCAACTTATTCACTTAGTGTCAGGTTGGATTACAGTATAAAACTAATAAATACTACTGTGAAACCTTAAAGCAGTAAGAAATTGCTAGTGTGTCCTTTGTGTAGTGCACCAAGACAGGATAACTAATGTCCACTCCTCTATTATTATTAATTTTTTAGATCTATATACTAATGTATTTTGAACGACTAGACTAGGGATAATAAGTTCGAGTTCTGGGGACAGAGCTTGAGCGCCAAAAATGCTTTGATGTCCCAAGTTTTGGGATCCTGGGACTGCACCATTGTCTCAGGACTACATCAACATCTGAGACCATGCAATGGTTCTGAGATTGCACAATTTTGAGAGAGTAATAGTTTTTAAGTTATGTTCTACCAAGGTCCAATTTTTCTCCTAAATTCTAATTTTTATAAATTATATATCCAGATATGGTACAAAAACTGTTCAGTATCATGTTTTGAAATACTAAACATGGTACAGTAGTAATCTACATGATACTAAGGTGGTACCATATTGTAGAATAAATGCAACCTTAAAGAAAGAAATCTAATCCATGTTTTTTACTTGTAAAATTGTTAAATATGTCAAAGCTTGTCATGTTGGTTGGGACAAAACTTCAACATGTTGTTTCATCATTAGCACTGGAAATTAAGGAGCAAACAGGTCCATCTGCTGGGGCTCAAGTGAAACCATGTGATGATCTTTTTTGGTTTCGAAAACCAGAAATTTTGTTGCGACTGATACAATTTATCATTTTTCAGGTACTTTTTCTTTTTTCCTTTCTAATTTACTTGATAGACTATGTGATTACATAGAATTAATGTTAATTTTCACCTGTTTGTGCAGAATGCATTTGAGATGGCAACATTTATCTGGTCTTTGGTAAGATCTCTCTCTACACCATGTTACCATTTTGAGATGGTAGTTTTGAGATAGTAGTAGATTTGATGGTACAAAAGGCTTAGATGTACAATGTTATGGCCTCTTTTATGATTTCTTCCTTCAGCTCATGATCTCTTGGAGCACAAAACTGAGAGCAAAATCTTAAAGAACCATCTTTGTGGGCCCAAAACCCTAGACATTTTTCTTGCAAAGCTTCCTCGAGTTTGATCAATCATTCATCTAATTGTTGAGATGCATTTGTCCTTTTTATTGAGGTCGGATAAATTGTCCTTTTACCCAAAGAACTACTGTTACCCCGAATTCTGACTTTCATATCCTATCTCTGTAAGCAATGTAGAATGTGGCAATAAAGTTATGTAACTGGAGGACTTACGACCCAAGCATTAGATATCACATTAGCCTTGCCATGGTGAAAATATGGTCTGTCGGCAACTGTAGCCATCAGTTCTGTTACATTAGTTGGTCTTGCTCAATAGATCATTGCTTCAACCTTGGGTATATCAAAAGATATACCATCTTTTCAAATCACATGGCCTAAAAGTGAAATTTCAAACACCAACATTTGCACATTTTGAAGCTTGCTTACAATTATTTCTCCCTCAAAGTCCCAGAACATTCCTCAAATGCTCCTGGTTTTCTTCTTTACTCTTGGAATAAACCAAAATTTTATTGATAAAAACCACCAGAACCTGGTCAAGGTAGGGGTTTAAAACCCTGTTCATCAATATATGGAAGCAGGATGAGCATTACTAAGACCAAACAGTAGAACTGCAAGCCTATATATCCATACCTAGTCCTGAAAGCAGTTTTAGGTATGCCTTCAGCCTTAATTACAATTGGCAATATCCAAATCCCAAGTTAATTTTGGAGAAGACTTATATAACTTGCAGATGATTAAATAATCATCAATGTCCCAAGAGTTACTTGTCACAACTGGTCTGAATTCCTTAACTATATAGGTTCCTCATCTGCTAACAATTCAAATGACAGACCTGATTTGCCCTTTTCACCCTTGATTTTTAAATGAAATTTAATTTTCCGTTTGAGTTTGTAGTTGTAGTGTTATTCTTACTTAAGAATTTTTGCTCTTTATTTTCAGTGCTATAATAAATTTCCTCTTTTTTTAAATTCTTTTTCCTAATGTCTAGTGGGGATTCGATGAGAGATCATGCTTCATGAAAAACTATCCAATGATAATCGTTCGATTAGTTTCTGGGTATGTTTCTTTCTTGGAGGTAATGTATTTTTTGTGCGAGTACAGTGACTTGCATATAACCAGTAATATATTATGAAAATATTAGATTTGTTGCTTTTATCATTTGCAAATTCCTTGTTGACCCATCCTTTATCATGCCCTTCTATGAAATCTCTCAATAACTTTTTAATCGCACAAAATTTTTTTTCAAAAGAAAACAGAAGATTACCATTAAAACCTTAGCAAAACCTTTGTGTGTTATCAAAACCTTTGACAATTTTTTCTTTTTTCAAATTTTCTCTCTTAATAATAAACCCGACCTACTGGTTTACAAATATATATATATATAAGTAGTGATATACACAAATTACAATATGAATTAAGTGTAAGAGTATATTTATCCTTTTAGTAACCATGTGCTTAGGTTGGGCATTTATGTTTCAAACCAGGTGCAGAAGCTTTTCACTGCAATATCAATGTATACTTCTGGACTAACTAATGAGCAAAGACACTTGCGATAACTATAACACATCTAGCTGACTTGCTGTTTTTGACACCAAAGTACTTTTCCCCAATGCTACTTGCTTAATTTATTGTTTCAAGCTAGTAAGATCAGTTTTTCTCATCTAAGAACAGGGAAAAAAGTTAAAATAAATATTTAGTTTGTGGATTTCCATCTAAGTTCCTTCAAACAAGAAAGAAAAAGTGTATAGATAGTGACAAAGAAAGACTTGTTTATGAAAATTCAGAGGATTTAATAATGTGAGAGAACTGCTTGTTGCTCTTGTCTAAAGAATTGATCTATCTTTAAAGAAACAAGGAAGAGAGGACAGTTTTAATTATCGTTGCCGGAGTCTAACATTAGAACTTCATTGATTTCAGCTTGACTCAAACTTCAGTTTAGAGATCAATAAATGTTAGCCAGATAAAGCGAAAGTGCAGATTTTGTTAGTAAAATTATAAAAATTGCCTGGATATATAGGGAGCAGGCCGGTATAGTCAAACTTATACGAGTAGGTGAGCAGGAATCTTACCATGTTTGCATAGTTGGAAATGGAGTTTGAATGAACTTTGATGCTTAGAGAAATTGGTCTTATTACTAAATTAAAATGAACCATAATTTTTCAAGTTACTGGACTAGTGGCTCTTATCAAAGCATTTGAAGTGCAACATATTTCTTATTCAATCAATTTCTTGGATTCTTATCATTACGTTTAATAGAGTAACTTCTATCAGTGAGTTCATGAAAGTCATATCATTGGCATGGATGAAAATTCATATTTAGGTTTTGGAGTCACTACTTTTGACCCAATTGAATGCACTTGACTTATACACGATTCTTGTTGATGCAGGGTTCTAGTTCAGTTTTGGTGTAGCTATAGTACCGTGCCTCTGAATGTAATTGTCACACAGGTTCGCCTAAAATTCTACTTTTTACCTGCTTTAATAGAAAGTTTCACCTGAAATTCTTAATTTTAGAAATTATTGCTGTGTTTAGTAGATTAAAATATTTTCTACTTCACATTTTTTTATCTATAAAACATGTATATTGTAGCTATGTAAATGCTAAGTATGTATATTTGTTTTTTTGTAAAAAATGAAATTTGGAGACTGACTCTAACCTTAATAGTTTCGGATTTATGGATTAAAATCTCAAAATTCTCTCCAATAGGATAACCTATGATGTATTCACATAACATATGTGCACAACATACATGAATTTCATAGCATATAATCAAGCATAAACTGTAGAATGTATATATATTTACATATGTTAGAATATTTTGTAACCTCTTTTGTCAGGACTGTTGCCTATATAATAGCACTACTTGTGTCCAAGAAAATCAAGGAAAATAATGAAAGGAATTCTCCTTTTCACTTTGTTCAAATTCTTCTTCCTTAATTTTTAATGGTATCAGAGCAATCTTGATCCAAAATCATCATCCAAATCACACCAAATAACCACGGATGAGCAGACCTCTTCTCCACCCGAAGTTCTTTCGAGTTCCTACCTTCCCATGCCAGTCAACCACTCACTCGTTGATCAGACACCCTCATTCGTCACTGGACACAGGTTGAATGGAAGCAACTATCTCCAATGGTCATCATTGGTCTTGATGTTCATCCGAGAAAAGGGCAGAGAAAAATACCTCACTGGAGAACTCGTTCTACCTCCAGCCAATGACCCAGGAGCTCGTGCGTGAAAAGTCGAAAATAATCTCGTTATGTCATGGCTGGTAAACTTCATGACAAATGAGATTGGAGAAAATTGTTTGCCGTATGAGACCCGCGGATGACATTTGGATTGCCGCGCGCGAATTCTACTCCAGCCATGATAACATATCAGCAATCTTCGAAATAGTGACTCATCTTCATGACCTGCGACAGGGGGAGCTTTCCGTAACTCAGTATTGCAACACCCTCACCCGCAATTGGCAACAGCTCGATGTCTTTGAAGAGCACCAGTGGAGTTGCTCCGATGACGCAAAAATGTTCAAATCCATCACCAAATGCAAACAAACGAATCTTCAAATTCTTAATGGGTCTCAATAAGAATTTGGATTAAATCCGTAGACGCGTTCTGGGAACCAAACCGTTGCCAAGCCTTAGAGAAGCATTTTCGAAAATCCGTCGTAAAGAGAACAGGAAAAAAATCATGATGGGTGAATCTCTCTTTGGCCCGAACTCACCGGAGACTAGTTCGGCTCTTGCTGCCCAGAAGAAAGTCATACTAAACGAATCCTAGTTTGGTGCTCACGCTTCCGAGACTGCCTTTGCCCTCACCAATCGTGCTTCTGAAGCTCAAGGAAGAAAGGGTAGACCGTGGTGTGAATTTTGTAAAAAACCCGGTCATATCCGTGATAAATACTAGAAGTTGCATGGTATGCTTGGTGAGAAGAAAAACCTGATAACAGAGACACATCATGGAAATTTGGTGATTAATGAGGAATCATCATTTGCTCCTACACCCACCGAAAATGCTCTTTTCAGTCCAACTCAGATGAAGGCTCTCTTGCAAATGTTTTCACAAAAGGGTCTTCTTTGTAATGCTTTCGTTGCTCAAAGAGGTAATTGCTTACTTAGTTTATCTGCCTATTCCACAAAAAGGCAAGTGTAGATTGTTGATTCAAGGGCATCCGATCATATGACTGGAAATATTTCACTCATTCGTCAATACAGTGAATGTAAGGAAGTATCCTCCATTAAGATTGCTGATGGAACGAGTTTTAGGGTGGCAGGAGTTGGTTCAACCTATATATTACCATGCTTGATACTACATTCCATCCTCTATGTGCCCAATTTGGATTGCAATCTGTTATCTGTAAGTAAATTATATAAAGACTTGAATTATATGGTTAAATTTGACAATAATTTCTGTATTTTTCAGGGCTTTGCCTTGGGAAAGATGATTGGCCTAGGAAAGACTCAAGACTATACCTTCTACCAGTTGCAACTTGTCTTTCAAATGAACAAACTTCAAGTGCAGTATATGCTAATTTAGTTTCTGTAGAATGTTCTAATATTGATCATTTTATTATGTTATGGCATTATAGATTACGACACCCAAATTTTATGTACTTGAAACAACTATTTTCTGCTTTATTCAGAAATAAAAATCTGAGTTCATTTGAGTGTGAAGTATGTCAGTTTTCTAAACATACTCGCAATTCATATCCCATTGTTACATATAAACCTTAAAAACCTTTTGCATTAATTATAGTAATGTATGGA